CACACACACACACACACACACACACACACACACACACACACACACACGTGTGCCTCCTCAGAGCCCAGGTACAAGGACGAGTCAGTCATTCATCTCCCACAAATTTCACAGCTTCAACTGTTTATGTTTGGGAGGAAACATTGGCAATGCTTTGTGAACCTGTCATTTGCTTGTGTGTGTGTGTGTGTGTGTGTGTGTCTGTGTGTGTGTGTGTGTGTGTGTGTCTGTTGGGCATGCACAGCTGTGTGCTGCCCTCGCCAGGGGCTGTTTAATTGGGTGTTTGCAGGTAATCACATGCCCATCCATTCTGCTGAACTGCCAAATTATTAGTTCTGTTACAGCTGCCATTGTCATACTTCTGTCTACATTATGCAGCGGTCATTTGCACAGCGAGCGATTTTTCTTTAAAAACACCTCCAGGCTGAGATTCTGGCTTTAACACACGCACTGTCAGAGCAGAATGGACATCTTTTTACACTCACACACACACACACACACACACGTGTGTGTCGGTATACGTTTTTTTTTTCCGCTCAAGGTGAATTTCACGAGATCAGGGGTGAATTTTGCTCTCGCGTCTCGGCTCGGCTCAGTCAGCGTCTGCCACCTCGACAGGAAGGGGAAGAGGCTACAGCTGCCCCTGACTGGCTGCTGACAGGTTGCCATAGTTACAGGAAGTGAAGACAGAAATGACACGGGCGTTTAGACATGTCTCTCGCCCGCTACCTGTTCCTCTTCTCCTCTTTTCACTTTCAGTTGCTCTTTCTGCCAGTCTTCATGTTCGCGCTTTTCTCCCCTCAATCATTGCTGTTTTTCATCTCACTTGGAATTAATGTACTGTGCTCTTTCTTCTGCCCCCCCCCCCCCCCCCCCACACACACACACACACACACACACACACACACTCTCTCATCTGTATTGCAGCACAATGAGTTGCAGCATCTTCAGGTTTCCTCCCAGCATCTTAAGATATTGAGTGAGCTGATGCGAGTGCAGCCTCTCTCTGTTTATGTCTCATTCTATTTCCTCTGCCTCTTTCTCTCAGTCCGTCTCTGCTTAGCTTCACAGTGCCTGGATGTTGGCAGCAATGGCTGGTTTTTCTCTTTCTTTTCTTTGTGTGGGTATCTGTGCCCCTTGGGAGCTAATCAGATAGAATGATTCCTGTAGCCGAGCAGAGCCCCCGCCTCATTCTCAGACCAAGCCCGCATTAATACAACAAACCCAAACGCCAGCCGTTTCCCGTCGGCGTCGTCTCCGTCCACATCCCTCTGGTTTAGCTCCGGTCCTTCCTGTCTCTCTCTCTTTCTCTCTCTGTCTCTCTGTCTTTCTTTCCCTCCCTCAGCCTCAGCCCCTCCATTAATTCAGGTGCCTCAGCTCCTGCCCCTGCACCATTACAGCTTCCAGAGCCTCTCTAGCTCTCTCTTCCTCTCTCCCTCTCTCTCTCTCTCTCCCTCTCTCTCTCTCTCTCTCTCTCTCAGCCCCAGCCTACCAGACAGTCCCTCAGAGTCTGACACTGAATATAAAGCAAGAGGACGGCTGCTACCTGCTCCACATGCACCCAGCCCTCTACTTCTCCTGACGGGCTCCTCAGAGAAACCTTCCTCCGTCCGTCTCCCTCCTCACCTGTAGTTTTAAATTAAGAAATATATATATATATTTAAGTGAAGATTGAGAAACACTGCCCCCTGCTGGCGCAGCTGGAGTAGTGAATAACTGTCTGTTTCCTCCAGTTCCAGGTATCGTTGCTCTCTCCTTGTGTTTCTCCTTTGCTCTTTTTGTTTTTTGCTTCTTTGTAGGCAGCTGGGCTTGAAATGGCTGGTGTTTTTTTTGGTTTTTTTGGTGATGTATTTTGTCTCATCCCCCTCCCTTTCTTCTCCTGCAGGGAAAGCTTCATCCAACGACGACGACGTCCAGAAGTCAGACGTGTCCTCGACAGGTCAGGGGGTCATCGACAAGGACCACCTGGGGCCGCTCCTCCTGCAGGTGAGTGCAGCGATCCACCCCGGGCCATCGGGAAAAAATAGTCTGAACTGAAGGTTTTGATCAGCCAGCTGTGCGGGTGGTGACTTCCTGTCGCTGTGCTCTCAGGCTCTAGACGGCTTCCTGTTTGTGGTGAACCGGGAGGGCAGCATCGTCTTTGTGTCGGACAACGTGACGCAGTACCTGCAGTACAAACAGGAGGAGCTCATCAATACCAGCGTGTACAATATTCTCCATGAGGACGACAGGGAGGAGTTCCACAAGAACCTGCCCAAGACCAACAGTGAGAGAGACACACACACACACACACAAACACACACACACTCACAGGGAAGCTGCACATCTGCTCAGAAGTAAACCCTGCTTGACATCTTCCACACGGCCGAGGTATAAAACTAACTCTTCAGAGGTTACAACAACTCTGCGCGCACACGTCAACGTAAACTCACTCGAGTTATTTATTCACGCTCCTCCGTTCTTAACTCCTCCTCTCGTTATTATGGAGGAGCTCCTGGGAAGTGCATGAGAGCTTTTCCGAAACGCACACACACACACACACCTGACAAAACCCACATGTGCACGGTAGCACCCACCCACTCTGCGCTAAGCAGGCAGAGCGTAGCGCAGCTGTCAGTCACACTCAGTGGTCCAGACAGTGTAAAACAGGCCTGAGCTCTATTCAGATCCCATGGCAGCCATCTGGAAACTACTTACTGCTGAATAATGCACCTCTACTCTTTCCTCTACTTAATGCAATTCCTGTTTGCCTGTGCCTGTGTGTTATTGTGTATATTTACATGCTTATGTCAGCATAGGATTGCATTTTTAAAAAGGTGCTGCCCGTGTGTGTGTGTGTGTGTGTGTGTGTGTGTTTAAGCCCATGAGTATGTGCACAGAGCACTATTTATAAAGCTGATTAATTATGGATTTGTGTGCTCGACTGAACCTGCTACTCGATTAACTCCCCAGTAATGTTCCGAAGCAGTGTGGGCTCGCTTATTCCTCCCGTTCCCTTGCAGGCTCCTTTATTCATTCACTGTCTTTACTTTTTAACACTCGTCTTTATCCACTTTTCCTCCGAGCGTCCCCCCCTTTGCCTCGCTCAACTCACTCTTTCTCAGCCTCATTCATTCTTCATGTGGCCGCCTACTAAGACGAATATTGTGCTCGTCTGTTTCTCCACCTGCTTCCCTCTCTGCTCTCCCGCCCCTCATTGTGTCTCGCTCTGCTGCTCTGCCCCTTCATTATCTTTTTTTCGGGCCCATGAATGAAATACGCACTCGCTGCACATTCCTACGGGATGACCGCTGACCACGGCAGCTACAGTTAAACACACACACACACTAACAAAAACAAACACCCAATCGTGCACAGCGTGGAGTGAGCCTTTGTTTTGGGTTGTGTGTTTTTTGACCCCTCTGTCTTGTCTCGCTGTTGACTAATTGTGTCTGATGGAAGATGTCGGCCCCAGCGACTGTACTGCGTTTCCTCCATCCTAAGGCCTCGTTAAATCATCTCTCACTATCAGTTAACCCCCCCCCCCCACCAAACTGTCTCGCTGTCCTGGGTTTTCTCTTGTAACCTCCCTGCACCTGCCAGACAGAAACCTCCGGCCAACTCAAGGCCCCTGATAAGGCTTTACGTAGACCTTGGAGGACAGTTGGATGTCTCTCTGAAGTTTGCCTCCCCTTTCTCTCTCTCTTCCTCCCTTTCCCCTGTGAAGGTGACCCCGTCTAACTGTGTGTGTGTGTGTGTGTGTGTGTGTGTGCCGTGATGAGAAGTCAGTGCCTAAATGAGGATAGATTGCTGAGTGTCCCTGGCCTCTGCCCAGACTGAGAGAGAGATATTGGAAATCGACACCTTGGCTACATTAATCCCATGGTCCATTTAGCCAGACATCCGAACAGCAAGAGAGGCTTCTCAATTTAAGAGGGAAATTACAAGTTGCAGTGTGCGTTTGTTTGTTTTGTCTGTGTGTGTCTGTGTGTGAGCCGTTGTGACGTCTAATAACAGACGATTCATTCTCAGCTCGTTCCATTTTTACTCACCAGTGTAAGTTTCTTTCTGTTTGCATTTCCTTTTTAGTAAATGGAGTGTCGTGGGGGAGCGAGGCAGCCCGACAGAAGAGTCACACCTTCACTTGCCGGATGCTGGTCAAGTTTGGCCACGCTCACGGCCCCATGGAGGAGGGGCCAGGAGGGCCACGTTATGAGACCATGCAGTGTTTTGCTCTCACCCAGCCCAAAGCCATGATCGAGGAGGGGGAAGGTACGCTGGCTCAGTCGCACATTTACACACATTTTAGCTCATGATGAAGACTCCTTAACTTAGGATTTTACTGTGCTGAGCTATTCCCCTACACTCAAAAAAGTGTTTTGCTCATTGTTATTTCACTTGGAGTTTATTTTCACATTCATTTCACATAAATGTAAAGAAATATTGTGTCATCACAACTACTGTGAAAGCCAATCGTGGTGCAGTATGCAACTTCCAAAGGTGTGATGAGGAAGTTAAAAATTGGACTTTTCAGTGAACTTTTGAAACAGACTATTTACACAAATTAAAAACATGTCTGGAGGAGAAATCAAATCAAAAAATACAATTTGCAATGCAGCAACTTTGTAGTTTTTACAATTTCTTATTTGGGTACAGAATAACAAGCTCATTTGAACGTTCTCCACATTTTAGATGCACAGGGACATACAAATTATTTTTTATATTATAGAAAATATTTAGAAGAAATACAAGCACACTGACAGACACAAGAGACAAAATAAAGAAACACTTACTTGTGCAAAATGTGATAGGACCATGGCCAGCACAGTTTTTCCTTTTTACATGGGGATTGTAATCTTGGTTACACACACCTGGGGGAGATCCTGGGTTTGTTAAAGAGTTCAAATCTCTCACAGTTAAAAAAAAAACAAATCCTCAGTAGAGAGCCAGAGGAGCAATTTCAATTTGTCGAGTTTGTTTAAAACCAAAAAACAATGAGTCTGAACCACATGCAATGATCATGAAAGATGTCTGACACTCCTCTCCTTTCACCTGCAGACCTTCAGTCATGTATGATCTGTGTGGCCCGTCGGGTGACAGCCATGGAGAGAACGGAGAGTTTCAATACCCGGCATGAGCTGTCAGGTGAGGAGCTGGGTGCCCTAAATGCCCACTGAACGAACACCAAGAGCTCAAACAGGCTCCGACGTTAATTCTTTATCCGTGAAGAGGTTTGACTCACCCCCTCATGCGTCTCCTTGTTCCCTTTCCCTCTTGCTCGTCCTCCTTCTGTCCTCCCCGGCAGGTAAACTGATCCAGATCGACCAGAACTCTCTGCGAGCGTCAATGCGTCCGGGCTGGGAGGACTTGTTGAGGCGTTGCATTCAGATGTTCCTTCAGCACAGTGACGGGCAGCCCTGGTCGCACAAACGCCACTACCACGAGGGTGGGTCTCTCACTCACACACACACACACACACACACACACACACACATCTGGAATCAACTACTGAAGTACCACAAGCTTAGAGAATCCGTCTCGTAAAGAGCTGTTAAATCTACAATGACATCAGGATCATCAGGATGTTTGCTCAGTTGTGTATTCAGTCTTCACTCTTACCATGTTCGCTATATGAAATTATTTGTTTTTCAATTTTTTTGTTGCTACCTATCTTGGCCAAGCCTCCGTTAAGACAGAAACCCTGAGACACATACACCTCATGCATCAGTGTATCAATAATGATCTCATTAAATGCAAAAGTCTGAGCGCTAGAGCCTCACTGTATTCACAGAGTTGGTTTTAACATAAAGGCAGTGATTGATGACCTCTGTTATCAGATAAGTGTTTCAGGGTGTTCATTTGTCATTTCTTCTTTCGATGCAGCCTTCCTGCAGGGTCACGCTGAGACACCCTTGTACCGCTTCTCCCTGTCCGACGGCACTCCAGTCACGGCACAGACCAAGAGCAAACTGTACCGCCACCCCATGAGCAACGAGCCGCAAGGCTTCATCTCCACTCATCTACTCCAGAGGTCAGAAACTGAAAATACAAACACTTCACTCCGACACCTGCAAAGGATGTTTCATTAACTGCCTTGTCAAAAAAAGCACTTCCAGCCTATCTATGCGAGGCATTCATGCCACACAAATAGCTGAAGTAGCAGCTGAAGTAGCTTTTATGCATTGGGATCACAGGCAGTGAGAAGACACCACACAGGAACTCGTACTTTAGTTGCACTTGTACTGAGCGTCACCAGTCTGAGAGCGGTTATTGTGGGGGGGGGGAATAGTGTTTTCAAGGTTTTTGTATTCTTTTTCAAACCTTGTTTTTCGTCTCCTTCCTCACAGGGAACCAAACGGCTACCGCTCAGCTCAGGGTGGGAGCATGATGCCGAACACTATGAGACAACAGGGCATGGGAGTCCCCAACCCGAATGCCCAAATGAATATGAACACCGGAGGGGGGATGGGCATGGGTGGCATGGGCAACATGAGCAGGGGCTATGGCATGAGCGAGCAGGGCCATTTGGGTCACACGGGTCCGATGGCAGGCGGCTCTATGTACGGTGGGAGCGGGGGAGGAGGAAGTGGAGGTGGAGGCATGGGCAACCGCATGATGCAGATGGGGCAGATGAATCAGATGGGTCCCATGAATCACCCGGGCCAAGGCATGTCGCAGCACCCGCAGCAGCACCCACAGCAGCACCCGCAGCAGCACCCGCAGCAGCACCCGCAGCAGCACCCGCAGCAGCATCCGCAGCAGCACCCACAGCAGCCCCCTTTTCAGAGCAGCGGAGGGTTTGGGCTGAGTGGCATGAACAGCCCGTCAGGGAGCCCCAGAATGGGTGGCCCCCAGCAGGGACTCCTGATGTCACCCCGGAACAGAGGGAGCCCAAAGATGGGCGCCAACCAGTTCTCACCCGGAGGTGAGTCGAGCTGCGTCTGGTGATTAAGCATCAGTCATTTATAAATAGTTTTATTTGTTTGTTTGATTTGATTTGTTTTTTTTCTTTCCAGGCATTCACTCTCCCATGAGTGGCATTGTCAGTGGTGGAGGAAGTGGGGGAAGCACCACCACCTTCTCCAGCAGCTCCCTAAACGCCCTGCAAGCGATCAGTGAAGGAGTAGGGAGCTCCCTCCCCTCAACGCTAACGTCGCCCTCGCCAGCCCACAAACCTGACAGCTCTCCCAGCATCCACTCCTCCTCCTCTTCCTCTCAGCCCAGTCAGCCGACCAAACCAGGACAAGATGGCTCTAAAAGCCCAGCGGGAGGCTTAGGGCCTGGGCCCGGTGACCATCACCACCCCATGCACCATCACCACCATCATCAGCATCCGCAGGCTGAGAGTTCAGGAGATCGACCAGACAGCCAGGCAGCTACGGCAACAAAAGAGACTGGAGAGGGAAGCAATGAGGCTGGGGTGACGAACTCTGAACCTCCTCGGAGGGTGCCAGACAGTAAGGGGCATAAGAAGTTGCTGCAGTTGCTGACTTCCCCAACTGAGGAGCTGGGAATAGGTGGCAGCGGGTCATCAGGGCCCCCTGTGCCACCCCCACCCACCAGCAGCAGCACTCCTGCAGGCTCAGACACTAAGGACCCCACTGGAGGCATGACAAGCCCCTCGTCTACCGGCGTGTCCTCCTCTTCCTCAGCCGGTGCCAATCCGGGCCAGGCTACTGGTCCGGGGGGCGTGTCAACATCGATATCGTCAGCCCACTACACGGGCTCGCTGCAGGAAAAGCACAAGATCCTCCACAAGCTTCTTCAAAATGGAAATACCCCAGATGACGTAGCTAAGATCACAGCAGAGGCTACAGGAAAGGTGACACTCGGGGGCCAGGAGGGCGGTGAGGCCGGGACAGGGGGATCAGGCGCCGGTATCGGGCCGGGGTTGGTCGCGGAGCCCAAGCAGGAGCAGCATAGTCCCAAAAAGGAGAAGACCCACGCCCTCCTCCACTACCTCCTCAACAAGGATGATTCCAAAGAGCCAGTGGATGTCAAGCCGAAGCTGGAAGAGCTAGATGGGAAGGGAGCCACCGGGGCCGCTGGCGGTCCAGCTCGGGGCGGCCCCGGATCTGGACCCGGCCCTGCAGCCGAACATCCTGAGAGCAAGATCAAGTCAGAGCCACCTGATGATGTAAGCCTGCTTCTTTGTTAAGACATGATTAAATAACTGCAACTATAATGTTATTGACATTTAGCTCGCCATACAGACTCACTGCCTTTGATCTGAATGAATGTGAATCTTCACTGACATTTTTACGTAACAACTCATTTGGCTTATTTTGATGTTCAGCTGCACAACCTGGAGTCTATCCTCGGAGATTTGAGGGGTTCAAGCTCTGACTTTTACCCGGATCAGGCCGGAGGGGGAGGGGCTGGCGACACAGGAAGCAAACCCCAGGGTTGCCTTGACGACAGCCTGCAGGGTGAGTGCAAAGCCTACGAGAAGTGACAGTGACATGTCGAGGGTGTCATGACATCATATGTGATAATATCAATGCAAAATGCCAGCGAAACTGCATCTGGCATCATTATATGCTGGTTTTCTGAGTTGTTTTTTTTTACCCCTACAGCCACATAAGTGACCTGTTTTTTTTTTTAGTCATTCATGTTTACAAAATGAAACCGTCAATTACTCACACACCACAATGTGAAGTTTGAAAAATCCCAATATCAATAATTTTAAAATCTTACAGGAAACTGAGATATTATGTTTCCCCGGATCACCCACTCACTAATTTAATGCAACACAGACATCCTCCCTGTTTCTGAGGAATACACGTGTGACCAGTGAGTTCATACTTTTTGTGCACAGGGAGTCCAGGAATCGGTCCGGGGCCTCGGGGGCCCTTCCAGAGGGCCTTGTCCATGGACGGGAAGCCTCCTGTTGGGCCCGTAGGAACAGGTAGACGCCCCATGCTTATCAAGCAGGAGAACATGATGGGCAGCCCAGACGGATACCCAGGAAACATGGGTGAGTGTTCAAGTGACCCAACATTCATTTCAGCACATTTTCTCTCACCTCTGTCACTTTTATTAGAGAGTGTGTTACCCAATCCTGGACTATGTTTTCATTTGTATCCTATTATCGGATAACCTTTTGAACTTTAAAGACACAGATTTAAGGTAACACGTTCCTGATACTGACACATCTGGTGTTCATGTTTTACCAGGACCAATGAACAGGGGCATGGTTCCCCAGAGGTCTCCCATGGGTGGGTCAGGGGACTGGGGCATGAACCGCTCCAGTGCCAGCCCAGTGGGCTCGGCGGGACACCCCTCCATGATGCGCCAAGGCATGGAGTACAACAATAGCAAGGGCATGATGTCGGGACCTATGGTCGGCCGCTCCAACAGCGTACCGGGCACCAGGTCTATGCTGCAGCAACAGCTCATGGATATGGGTACGTCTGTCACTACAATTCATTCGCTGTCAGTGCTGCGTGTTGTGGCATTCCATGTCATAGTAATCAGCTGGTCAGAAAATGTGTGAATACTCATCAAACTGACCCTGATTTTAAAATGTTCTGCACCTGAAATTGATGTTACATATGTGGACTAACAGATAATGTGCATCCCTGTCCATTACATTCTATGAACTTCTGACTGACTCCGTATGTGTATAAATTAAACATATATTATATTTGTGGTTTAGGAGGCTCTGCTGACATGGGCATGGGTATGAGCCCCTTCAGCCAGCAGGGCCAGTCCAACCAGTCCCCCTCCTGGCCGGACACTATAATGGGCATGGAGGGTAACAGGTCAGTGTAACACCCTTCATCGTCTGTATTCATTCCTGATGAGCTGCAATGAGGAGGGAGTTGAACCTCACGAGCATCTCTCTCTGTGTCTGTGCCTTGCAGGCGTCAGTTTGGCAACACCTTAGATGATCTTCTGGTGCCTCCCACCACCAGCGAGGGTCAGAGCGACGAGCGGGCGCTTCTGGACCAGCTGGACTCTCTGCTGAATAACACGGATGGCATCGCTCTGGAGGAGATAGACCGAGCCCTGGGCATCCCAGACCTCGTCAGCCAGGTAGTGTCATCAGAAAAGACGTAAAAATATGGATTAACGACACTCCCACCTCTGTGCTCCTCTAGATCCCCCTAGAAGTAAAGTAAAAGGTGAAATGATCTGTCTCATGACTCATAAGTGAGCCTTGCGTTCACCCTCGCATTAGATATTTTAGTCATGACTCACCGTGTTCAAACTGTTCTTTTGCTGAAGGGAGATGGATGAGCCCAGAGGGATCTGTCTGTGCTGCTTAGAAAAAGACAATTACAGAGCCAACCAATTGGAAATGAATCAATTAGATGGAGAGGTTTGACAAAGTTCTCTTTTTGTCCTCTTGTCCTGTCTGCTCCAGAACCAGGGAAGCGAGCAGCAGATGGAGCAATTTCCAGGACAGGACCCGTCCATGGTGCTGGACCAGAAGCCTATCTACGGACAGGGCTACCCCGGACCCCCCTCCATGCCATTGCAGTCTGGCTATGGAGGGAACCCCATGCAGGGGCAGGCCCAGCAAGGGGGGTTTGGGCCCATGCTGTCTCAGATGGGCCAAGGCGGCAGCTTCCCCGGTATGGGCGGCATGGGTCACCCTCGTGCCAACATGATGAGACCCAGGATGATAACCGCCAACAAACCCATGAGGCTCCAGCTGCAGCAGAGGCTGCAGGGACAGCAGGTATGTTGTTTTCCCAATAAGGAACTAAATGTAATCTAAACTTGTAAGGATGAAGTGTTCTCACACTGCAAGAATTTGGATACACTTAAATAAATGCCAATATGCAGATTCAAATCAGGGACGGACCTCCTCACATCTGGGAGAAGTGAACATTGGCTAGAGATAAACATTCATTCAATAGATTTCTTCTCTTCTAACTCTACCGCCTATGTTAATTCGTAAGTGTAATTTATCTGTGAATATACCGTATGCAAGTGGGACAAGGTCAGAGTAACATTTTTGCTCCTCCATCTTATCTTGAATGCTTTTTTTCTTTTTCTTTCCTCAGTTCATGAATCAGACGCGGCAGGGCATGGGCATGAAGATGGAGAGCCCAGGAGGCAACCCTGGCATGAGGCCCGGCATGCAGCCTGGCATGGGAGGACAGGTAGATGACAAAAACTAATTTCTTACAGATGAATCACCGTAATACGGTTTTAATATCATCATCAGAATCAAGTTTGCCAAGTATGTCCAGACATATAAAGAATTTGACCCAAGTTGTCAGCAGCTCTCAATGAATTTTCATGCAACTTTAATAATAGTTTCAACTTATGACTCCTTTATAAAGGGTTACCTATCGGAATGTGTTACCGATCCTTTCAGCAGACCGTATTGTCCGTTGTAGTCTTCTCTTGTCCTATTTGGTAGCCAATTTAAACCAGACAGTGATGGACGTACAGGGAACGGACTGATTGCCGTGTAGAACTGACTCCTGTGGCAGGTTGAGCTTCCTCAGCTAGTGCAGGAAGTACATCACCAGCTGGGCGTTTTTTTGTCATCATACTTCAAATAAAGGGAGATTATAGGTCTCTGAAATCTGAACCCACCATACATACTTTATATTTTATGACATATTTTATTAAAGCAGCAAATATATTTATACCACATGTCAACCTTCCTTAAACTCTCTGACTATGTTTGTTTCGTGCAGCCGGGCTTCCTCAATGCTCAGATGATGGCTCAGCGCAGCAGGGAGATGGTCACCATGCAGATGAGGAGGCAGCGCATGATGATGCTAATGCAGCAGCAGCAGCAGCAGCAGCAGGCGGCGGCGGCCGCTGCTGCTGCAGGAGGATTCAGTCCCCCTCCAAACGTCACGGCTCCTGGTGGCATGGAGAACCCTATGGGGGGGCCAAGCATGGGCCAGCCGGGCCCCCAGCAGTTCGGCTATGGTGGGAACTATGGTGAGTTTTCCTGAGACGGGCGCCTAACAGAATACTGCTGCTCCCTGGTGGTGAGTCCGAGCACTGCAGGCTTCTGGTCTCACATTTGTCATGTAAAAGGAAGAAAGATTTATAAAAAAAATATTCTGAAAGCTGTCCATGTACATCTACCGATTACTTATAATAGTCAATGTCAAACAGCAACAGGATCGTCATCTCCCTTTAGTTATCACTATGAGTCAATGATCTATTTACTGTGGAGAGAGGAGCGAGCTCAGGCTGGGTGATTTATCTCCACAGGGATGGCACAGCAGGGAGACCCCTCGTTCGGACCATCAGGCGGCAGTCCTCCTGGCACCATGATGCCCGGCCGACTTGGGCCTCAAAATCCCATGATGCAACAGCACCCGCAGAGCGGTCCCATGTACCAGGGGGCAGATATGAAGGGCTGGTCGCAGGGAGGCATGGGACGCAACAGGTATGAAATCAAGACACATTTACGACAACGCCATGCCGTCACATGAAGTTGTGCTTCAGTTTTTCTTTTCCTGAATGCGTACGGTTAAACCCATCTTCCTTCATGTCGCTCTCCTTCACCAGTTCGTACCCTCCGCAGCAGTTTGGGCAGCAGGGACCACCGGGGCAGCAGCAGTTCGGGCAGCAGGGGAATCCTGGCCAGTATGGGGGCATGATGATAAACGGGGGCATGCCAGCCAGCGGAGGAGGAGGTCACATGGGCCAGATGGGCGGGCAGATGGGTATTAACCCAATGGTGATGGGACGCATGCAGATGGGGCCTGATCAGGTAGGTGCAAGTCTGAGTGCTCAAAGGACAAGTTCACATTTTTATTGTAAAACAATACTGGCATGCCCATATGTACACTGAAAGGACTGTATCTTGTAGTCATTTCTCTTGTCCATAGCGAGTGCAAAGAAATCTCTCCTTGTAGCAATTTCAATGTAAGAGATGGGGGACAAAATGAGTCTGAGTTAGCTGCTTTTCTGCGCCTTTTCAATTTGCGCATGTTCACTGATAAGAGGAAGACATCAGATCTGTGTGGAGAGATAATGAGCCCATCAAGTTTCTCAAGTTAATACATTAAAACAAACAGAAATGCCATATTTCCATCATCATGGCTGGCGTTAATTACGTCATCCTGTTGCGTCCTCTTCTTCTGCAGCGGTATAATGGCATTTGACTGGAGCATGAGCAACTCCAGCTATTTATTTCAATGAACCAATTACTGATATTTGCATAATGGCAGTGGATTGTGCATTAACCTCTTCCTCACTTGTTTTCTCTTTTCCTCCCCTCAATCTAGAAATACTGCTAAACATCGTGACAGAAGCATTTGTCTCACTGTGATCTCCGTTCAGAGAGAGGACCCGGCTGCAGCACTGGAGTGTGTGTGGAGGACCAGGCGGCGTGTTGTCTATGTGTAGTGCTGCACTCCCCCCAGATGGGGGAGTCGACTTCCTTTGGACTCACTGCCAGTGTTGGCAGTCTGGCGACCTGGGGAAAACAGACAGACTGTCGCACACAAACATGAAAACACAGCGTTCATCAAAATCAGAAACACTGTGACACATTTTACACACACATAAATCCCTCAGACAGTGAGATAGACAGCTCTGTGATTCCTCTCGTAGACTGTAGTTTAATGTTCCTCTCTTTATGAGCAATGTGTGTGTGTGTGTGTGTGTCTCAATCACACACAGCTCGCTGGACCAAATGGCGAAGGTGGACAGACACTCGAGTAGATCACAGACTTGGACGAACGTGTGAAGACATCCTCTCCTCTGTCGAATGTACCATGAAGCTGTGTTCAGATTTAAAATGTGGGATTCCTCTTTTGTTTCTGAACTTGGTGGGATTTTCCTTTTTATCCGTCGGCCCTCTGCTGCTCCTGGAGGATCTCTGCGTATGTAAAGTAAACGCCATCCGATTGTGACACTCAGATGAATGTCGTTAAGCAGTAGCACATTGTTTCCTCCTCCAGGACGCCGCTGGGCTGAAGTACGATGGAATTACTTGTTGGCTGATTGCACTTTAAGGAAAGGCCAACATCAAAAGGATTGTGGCAATATAGAGGCCTTTACCCAAGAATTAATCCATAGCAGCAGTTGTTTATTTTAGTTTATTTGTGTGTGTGTGTGTGTGTGTGTGTGTGTGTGTGTGTGTGTGTGTTCTCCAACTTTTCCTCTCTGGGTAATGTTGGCTGTTAATTAGAAATGGGTGATGATCTTTGTTCTAAAGTGGGAACCAGTAGAAAGGCGGTAAGCACAGATTTTATCCGACGCTCTCTCGTCTCCAGCGGTACTTATTTACAACAACAAGAGAAACGAACCGTTTTTAAAGTGATTTATTGATGTTCAAAACTCCACTTATATTTATACAGATTCATTAACATGATGGTTTTATCATTCCAGAGGTCATTTTTAAATCCCAATGTTGTAGATATGTTTGGTTACCTCGAACCAATTTACAGTGTTGGCTACAAGTGCAGAAATAGAACTGATTGCCAACTATGACATTACGTCTCTATATTAGCTCCCACTGTAAGAGAAAGTGGATGTTAGATTTCTAGCAATAATCATTCCTCCCGGTTTTCCGCTGAGGACGAAGCTGAAGTATCATTGACTCAAAGCGACGGCACTGCAGTATTAGACTTTGTCTTTATTTTCTTTCTTTTGTTTGTTTGTGAATATGAATTGTAAATACGCTTCAAATGTACTATATATAAATATATATATGCTTTTGTAGGTCACATACTGTTTTTGCACAGATTGTAAGGCTTGATATTTAAAAGTGTAATTTTCTTAATTCCTCATAGGTCAGCTTTTATTTTCAATACTTTAACCATCGGTTGGAAAGGAAGGGCCTCCTTTTTGTAAGCAGTACGTGTAGATTTTATTTCCTAATGTAGCTTTCTCCTCTCAGAAAGCACCCTTTATTTTCCGAGAACATAGTCTTAGCTAAAGAGGTGCTAGTGTGTCATTTTTTGTTTTCTAAATAAATTATTTTTCTTGTGACAAAAAAAAGAGAAACCACATGAATTGCCTGGACAAAAAGAGTTGACACATGATTGTGTTAGGCTTCTAGGGGCCCAGATGTCTTACCAGTATGTGGGGTTGATGTTTTCTGAAGCGAACCTCATGCTTCCATGTGCCACTTATAAGTTTCACTCCTGAGATTTCTGTGCTTTTGGCATTTCGCAGATATAATCGTTTGGCCTCAGATGCGAGACTTTTGGAAATCGACCCCACCGTATAACTGTCCATAAGTCCTTTTGGTTCGTTCAGACGGTTAATCCTGATGGAAGCCACACATGATGTAGTTTGATCCCTAATTACCTGTCAACCTTCTTTTTCTTTTACATTCAAGTTTGCCTTTATTTTCATTGTATTTCCTGTGAAGCTTTTGTTGAAAAATCTACCTTTGAACACATGCTCAATCCAAAGATTTTTGTTTGCCATTCTGCAGTGCTTAGAAACATGTTCCTGATGTAGATCGTGCAAGTACTCATGTGTGCTTTTACTGTCGCACATAACCTATAATATACATTGAACTATATATGTTTAGTTGCATATATTATATCCCTATCCGTCTGACATAGAGTAGAGACGAGTCTGGTTCTGCTGAGGTGGTTTGAGTTTTTGTTTGTGATTGTTTCTTCCTTTCTGTAGAACTTATGGCCAGTTGAATTGTGGTGCTGCAAATGGAATGTTGAGATTTTCTAAGCTACAAAGGAGGTTTCATGATTGATGTCATTATGTCTCAGAAGAATAGCCTGGAGTTGTTTTGTTCTTTTTAACCCCAGTCTCAATGAAGAATATGAAATCTACAAATATAAAAAAAAAAAAAAAAAAAATGTCTGTGTTTTGCTTTAAAGGAAAGAAACTCCTCTCAGTGTGTCTTTGGAGCTAAAGAAAAGAGAAAGCACATCTGGGAAACATTATTATTACAGGATGTAAAATACTATTGCATTTTTTTCTTACCTTGTTTCTTGATGTTAATATCGATGTAAATACAAAATTTATATTTAAACATTACAATGTCTCTGTTGTCTTTATGCACATGGAAACATTTTGGACATGACCCGACGACCCTGCAGCCACAGTTCAGTCCGACAGCAATCAAATACATTACTGGCTAGTTCCAATAGAGGCTCCCACTCATCACGTGTGATGACTGGAGTCTGCCAGTCTGCATGAAGTGGGAGGCAAGTGTGTGTGTGGATGGGAGGCATAGACATGTGGAGGGGATTTAGAGTGTGAAGGATATCTGTGTGGCAAATTCTCAGAAAAAGACGAGAACTTCCTCTCAGTCTAGCTTTTGTCTGTGACATTGAGGGTCGTGCTGCCGTCTGCAGCCTCACTTTTTTCTGCTGTTTCCTGCAACTGGTCACCTCCCCTTTTGTGAGCTTTTGTCATCAATCATCCCACTTTCCCCTCCTCCTCTCAATGATTTTGCACCCCATAGATAGATCTCACACCTCCAGGCTATCCCAACCCTGCAGCTGTTATTGTACCCAAAACCTACAGAAGCCCGACAGCCTAGTCAGAGCTTAGAATAACTTAACTCCTATTCGGACCGGAGTGTCATTTGTAATAAAATTACAGAGTCTGTCAGTTTAAGATTGGCTGCCAGGTTACTGCAGGCTGACTCACTCAACCCTTGGTCGCTGGAGAAATGGTTTGACATTCAGTAACGGAGACGAGAGGAAATTTCTGTTCCACCTGTTTTAATGCAGTGATGATTTAATGCATTTTAAGTAAATACTGCAGTGTGTCATTTTTTGATGAGTTATAACTGTTTGATCGTCATTTAGCCTCGCCTTCGACAGCAGCTACTGGATTTATTGCCATGAAATTCATGACATTCCTCTGGTTGTAAAAAGAAGTCCGATTGTAGGAGTCTGAGAAAATGACTTCTCACTTGATTTACTACCTCAGTAAACATTGTAAACACGAGTTTATGGTCTCAATCGCTAGTTTCAAGTCTTCTTAAATACAGCATGATGTTCATTAAGTAAATTATTGTTGCATTTAGAGTGAAATAGTTGATAGAACTTCAACTCTTCCTCAGTGTTCAGTTCATGAAAGGTAATTGTACCATTTTGGTCTCCTAAAATTTCTTATACAGAGTTCAGTTGTACTCAGCTCCACCCTCTCATTTCACTTCTGGTTTCAGAAACCAAGATGGCGACGGCCAAAATGATGAACTCAATGCTTCAAAACGGCCGTCCGCAAACCAATGGGTGACGTCACGATGACTACGTCCACTTCTTATACATGTCAATGGTCATATATTGTCTATGGTGATGACGTCAAAACCAAAAATTGTTATGATTGCTTCCGATCTCCCCTACTGAATAGTGACATTGTAACTCACTGTCGTCTGAAGTTGAGACTGATAGTCTCTGTTTATATCAAGAGTCTCCCATATGCTTTCTGCAGGATCGCCTTCGAACCTGCAGAAACCCCTCTGATGGAGGTTTTACTGTGATCACTGGCACAAATTAAGAATAAGGCACCTGATGATGTGTAATTCTTACCAATTATCTTGGCACATCCTAGAATTACTTGTGGTTTCTCTTCTTCTTCTTTATTGACTTTTTATCAGCTGTTGCGATCTTTGGTTTCCCAGCCTCCTCCCCATCTATAGTAGCTACGGTCGAGACAAATTCATGTCAAATAATAATCTCTTTGTAACGCCATGTGGTGCCTGCTCGTGAGTACACTAGATATTCAACTGTTCCTCCATTTTATTGGCAAAAGTATTTCAGCTGCCGTGTGGGGGGCTTCCTGTGTATGTATGTGTGTCTTTGTGTGCGTGTGCGTGCGCAGCAGGGTGGAGCAGGAGGCGGGTTGCGCCGATGGAAAAGACGCACCACTCATCTATTGGACCAGACGCGGAGTGGGCGCATACAAGACGCGCCTACCGAGGCTTAAAGACTTGTTTTTTTTTTTCCCCTCCGAGACAGGAGACATGAGGTTCCGAGACACCTGTCAGCAGGACTACACATCCAGAAGCTGCGTGTGCTGCAACTGGAGGCTGCGTGTTTAACCATGGACGCGCTGTTGTCGTTCTTCTTATAGCCTCTTGGTGACCAAGGAGCGTAAAGTTATTCTGCTGCTTTCTTGTTTTTCTTTGTGTTATCCTTCGGGTTTTTGTTTTTTTTAAATCCCAAGCCGCATGAGTTCCCCGCTGTTTCTAGGTCAGCTGGTCGGGGTTCCGTTAGAAATAATGCACCCCACCATGGAGAAAGACACGACTTACACCAAGATCTTCGTCGGCGGGTTGCCGTATCACACCAACGACGCCTCACTTCGGAAATATTTCGAGACTTTCGGTGACATCGACGAGGCGGTGGTTATCACAGACAAACAGACGGGCAAGTCCAGAGGATATGGCTTTGTGAGTTAATTTAAATTGCTGTGTTCTGGTAGAATAAACGAGGAGTCAAACACATGTAGAGTGAAATATGGGATTTAATTAAGGTTTTATCAGCCGCTCTGACTTTAATTGGATGGTCAGGGTGCTGAAAACGCACTAGATCACGTCTGTAGCAGCCAGTAATGAGTTTGAAGCGACTTTATCTTCATGGTTGATTGTATTTTTTCTTGTATTGCCTTGGAGGCAGCACACACTGCCACTTTGTTGCAGCAACCATGTACATTGTGTCTGGTGGTGGCAGTCACATGCTTGAAGCTTGAGTAGGAGATTGTTTCTTACAAGTGTGTCCTCAATTATCTCTGAGGTCCCAAAGTGAGCAAAGAGATAGATATATATATATATATAGATATATATATATATATATTATTAGTATAAGTGTACAGAATGAGGACACACACAGAGAGGTACAAGTGAGTTGGTAATGAGCTGCCACAGCTGTCGACAGATGTCTGTTTCCACTGTGTTTGTGTAAGAGAGAGAGAGACACAAGGGGGGAGAGAGGGGGGGAGAGTGGTCACAGAGGTGTGACATGACAGTTGGCTCTGCAAGATAAGGCTGCAGTAATTTCATTTTGACTTCCTCCCCTCCCCCCCCC